ACCATAATAGTTATTTTTTAGGATATTTTACATGACTTGCGTTAAACTTATCTTAGAATGCGCAACACATGCATGGAGTTTACACCGAAAAAAAACACGTTCAGACGGTGAACAAAGTACAGACTTGTAACTAGGCTACAAGAACTAGGCTGTTTCCAGAACAGAGTTGAACCATAAGGAGAGGTTTAAAATTTTAATTTTAACAATCCTGGAAGAGTGAAGGGTTGCGGAGACATGATTATGACGTTTAAGGTACCCAGAAGTTTCGATAAAGCAGACAGGGACTGTGAAATGTGAGGGCACAGATAAACCCCAGAGATGTTAGGAAATAAGTAAGGGGGTGCTGGAGGCAAACTCTGTACACAGAATCAAGAGCAGGTACGACTGGGCCCAGAAGGCCAGAACCAGTATATGCCGAAAGTGTTTCAGGTCAAGAGGCTGGACAAGGAACAGATTTGACCCCTCTCTCTTCCCCTCCCCCCCCCCCCCCCCAGAAACGCAACTCAGTGAGTACCCACAAGAGAAAGTTCACGTTTTCTGTAATGCCGAGAGAAACAACAAACCTGGAAGGAGTGAGCGCTGATAACAGGGAGAGTCACAGGGAAGTCAGAGATCACCTGTAAACATGTCCACAAGTATACTTAAATTTTTAGCAATTGGAGGGATATTCCTTCTGTTTGTTGGATAGAAGGGTAGCAGTAGGAGTGGAGGGTAGCAGTATCGCATTAAATTGGGTGAAATCTCTGCGGCGCGCGCGCGCGCGCGCACACAACACACACACACACACACACACACACACACACACACACACACACACACACACACACACACACACACTCTAAAGGCAGGCAATATTGAGAGAAAAATTAAAACTGAAAAAGGAAGGTTTTTGCACAACTGAAAAAAAAATTAAACAGCTGATATATTAAGGATGGCATAGAGATGGAGAAAAAAAAAAGCTTGGAATAGTACAACCTTAAAATAAATGGCTCCTGTGGTATAACAAGAGAGAACAACACACCAACAACAGGTGCAGCTTGCTCAAAATATCTCTGATTATGTTAATAAAAACGATGAGAACATAGAAACTAGAATAGTGTGAATTTAGATAAGATAGAAGACAGTTACTACAAAAAAAATAAATAAAGATAAAACAGTAAGCGGTAATGGCTAAGATTACTGCTAGAACAATTATAAGTTTTTGGAAAAAAAAAAAAAAGGTGACGACAGAGAAAAATACGTCATTGTTTTTGGCTGTGTAAAAACGATAAAATCAACATTGAGAATCAAATGAGATGAGAAAATACTTAGACGATTTTAACATTAAAAACTACAATAGGACACAGGAGAGCTGGATAATAAAGTTACAATACCGTACTTTGAAAACTTAGTCATTCCTTAGTTCTCAAGTGTGTTTTTTTTTGTGTAGAGGTGGAAAAAATACAAGAACAGGCAGCTAAGAATAACATTTAGTCACAAAGCACAAAGAATTGCTAGAGACCTAGAGACAAATTAGAAGGTAATAAGAATATATGTTTTACTCAAGACCTTCTTGAGGAGGATAAGATGAAAATAGAGAACTTCATCAATATTGTTCGGAGGATGAAGCTAGATTTTTTTATACAGTGTAACAGGGCCGTACCAGCCTATCAATTGATTTCTTCAATCGAGAACAGGATACAGAACAACCAAACTAAAAAGATTTTTAGATTGTGCCATCGAATTAGCTAGGCTGTGTACCCCCATATCCTTCCTGTGTACGGTAGTGGCTAGTTTATTGTGCACCCCTTATTTATCATGTGGAGGGTAGAACAAGAACATATGGATACACAAAAGAACTAGCTAGGAACTAGGCAACAAAAGGGATAACAGGAGTACATCTGGATATATATCTACAATGGTGACGGTCACTACAGTGATGACAGCATTAATCATGATCACTCCCTCGAGCAATAGGAAAGCTTAATATCCACTGATGCTGCGAGATAAATATTATTTATACATAGTCATTCGGAAAATAATTTCATCACTACGCGAAACCCGTAGGGGAGTTCTTTGGATCATGTCTGATCCAAAAGGAAGACAGCTCGTTTCTTGGGTCAAGAACCCTTTTAACACAGTCACTGGAGCAGAGACTGATTTTCACCGTCAACTGGTAAATTATCGGGAGTTTACAGTCTCAGTGGCTGTGCAACGCACATCAGACGATAGCCATGACTCTTCAATGTAACATGAACATTGCCTGCCAATAGCCATTATTCTTTATAAAATATCAGACGATAGCCATTATTCTCTACAATATAGACGATAGCCACTATGTAACATCGTCAGACGATAACCACCACAAGCCCAAATACTGAGACGATACCTATGATTCTGTTCAAGATATTTCCCAGCAAAGCTTCCACAGATGGTTGACCTTCATTTTACGTTCACAGTTATCACACACACAAACACACATTAGACTTGGTCGACTTTCCGTTCATCGTGAATCCCTTACCCAGTAACAAATGCGGGAGAGCAGGAAAGAAAGGCAGAATTTTTGTTTTAGTTTTTACTTTGGTATGGTCTGTTTCCTTTTATTAAGATCAATAAGTGGACCCTAATGGAAACAAGTCACTGACTTTTTTGGGTTATCATAGGTTCTTTACACACATGCTGCTATGTATGATAATCTATGTAATTGTATTTGTGTTTACCTGAATAAACTTACTTATACTATTTCTGCGAAGTCAGATCAGGTGAAATAAGTTAAAATTTGGCTAAGACCAGATCAGGAGTAGTTGAGACACCTTAAGCCAGTTATATTTATGTGATAAATAAGTAGGTCAAATTGCAACATACAATATATGAAAATAAATTTAACAGATGAAAAATTTAGCAGGTAACACTTCACTCACCAGGAATTCCGTCAGTCTAATATAGAGTGGAATAAAGCATGGGTATAAGAGCCAGTGAGGTATGAATACACAGGTGCACACTGCTCCTCCTACACCTGTCGTGAATATATTCCAGTGCATGTACCCTTGTTCGACCCTATTCTGTCTATGCTGTACATATCCTTGCTTTATCCTACTGTTTCTCTGCTGTATATACCGTTGTTGTGCCTTAATCTATACTGGATTGATATAGCTCTTGGTGAAGAAACTGAAAGTTGGCTTATTGAGGCAGTTTCATTTAAATCAAAAGCGAATGTCGAAGGTGGGACTTCAGAGAGGATGGCTGCCAGTGAAGGCATCGAGATATTCATTTAATTAAAGGAAGTTAATTTAAGCGGTCTTTTAATAAAACTGAGTGACTGCCAAAACACAGGAAGAGAGTAACAGTGTGTTCGTTTCCTGTGCGCTGTACGCTGTCGCGCGAGTACCGTTTCCCATAACTAATAGTGATGGGAGAAGACCGGCCAGAAGCTTAATTGCATTTTTGATTAAAAATAACGAGCTCGAATGCAGTAAGTACCAAAAAAGTGGGAAAATGGGCTTCTTAACTGTGGAGTGCGAGAGGTCTCACAGCCCCCCCTCATAACAGGTGTTTTAAAGTTCGTCGCCCTGAACTCCAGAATGTCCAGGGTTGGTACCAAGCTAACGATGATGGCCTTCTGCTTGTTAAAGAGGCGACAGAGTCAGCGTAGAACTAAAAGGATAATGAAATTAGAGAAGTCTAAGCTCTGGAGAGCTAACGCACATTGAGTGTGTGTTGCCCGACGCCGTGTACTACAGTATATCCAACAAATAAGTTGAGAAATACACAAAAACTTTAAATATTTTAAAGAGGTAAAGTTTCTTCATTAAGTGTTTGTGTCCCTCTAGTCAGACTGCAACGAAGAAAATATGGTGATATTTTATTCGTCGTGAAACAGGCTTACTCAACTCGCCTATTTGTGACTATACAAGCTTTTATAGGTTTATGTAACCCAACCCATCAAACAAAACAGCATTTATAGATCTGAAGGAAGTGTTAAGAATTCGAGTGCAACACACTAAGAAAATTAAAAATATAGGATAGAGTGGCCAAAGTGGGCGAGGAAAAGTAATTAATAGAGATGTGAAGAGGATGTAATCATCCATTATCCAAGCCTGAGCTTGCTACCATCTGCAGCTCATAAGACTGCCATCCTTTGAGGCGGGGTAGATGGCAGACCAGAGGCCTAGCTTCTCCCTACGAGCCCCGTGAGGGCGGGGAATGTGGCTAGGCCTGGGGACACTTGGTCCCAAAGATGAGGAGGTACTTGTCCTTCCTCCCATGGGAGACTTAAGTCTCGAGACACTCCCCAGATAGGGAGCCAAGGCCGGGTCACCACTACTTGGAAAAGACCCGGGCCGGGAGAATACCGGTGAATAATAATAAAAAAAAAAAATCCATTATCCTTGAAGATGTAGTTTTGGGATGGTCAGTCCCTCAGCCTGGAGAAGAATTTTGTTCCATAGTCTAAAACAAGGGCGACGGACTGGTTACATCGTCTTCACATCTCTACTGCTCTGCCAACTTCTCTGTACTCGATTGAAGAAGTCTACTGCTTAGACGAAACAATTCAGAATAAAGATACCTCACTGTTGCGTCCTACAAAGATATTAGTAGATCGCAGATACAGGATTGGGCTTCGAAATGAGCTGAGGTAGACTAACAGATCAAAAACTGTAAAAAGAACTAAGAATAACATCCTGTAAATAAGCAGAGATAAGACAGCATCCCTGTAAATTCAGAGGCAGGACAATTGGACAACCTGTAAATAAGTTAGGTAGAATAACAGCTCTTTGCTTGTAATATGTTAGACGGTGCAAAAAGGAGGATGATCATACAGCAAATGAGGGATAAAATCTAACCAGGTGTGACCCGAGGAAGAGGAGAGTATCTTCGATTTCTTAAATCAAGTGCTCCTCACCAGCACCCAGACACTCTTTAAGAGGTCCAACCAAACAAAATAGTGCTAGGATACCAACAAAAATGGAGACCCTTGTACAAGATACATTAAAATTTATAAATTTACATTACTTACGTTCATTATTTCCGTTAAGTGAAGAGAATGGTCAGCTCCGTTAATAGGTGAAGTGGCAAGTCGAATCCGTTAACAGGTGTAGTGGCAGGTGGGGTTAAATAGCAATGGTAGTGCCTAGTGGCTGAACAAACAAGGCTAGGCGTTTGATCAGCTACGTGGTTATTATAATAAAAAAGAAAGCAAAATCCGTAAATCAGAATCAAATATCACACTCGACTAAGGCGCTGCCAGTCACTTCCAACGGAAGTGGAACGCTAAACTCACAAGGGTTATTCAACACCTGGAGAATGGGAGGCAATCATGTTCGATTTGTGGAAGAGGTGAACAAGGTCAATATTTTTTTGTATCAAGATCCCTTCACCGACATCAAGACACCACCAGTGACTAGTATGGCAGACGAGAGCTCAACACCTCCACCACACAAGCGTCAGAGAGCTACTGGGTGGACTGTAGAAGCATAGTCTGTCTCCAGCCTTTCTGGAGCGTCAGGGGGGCGGGGCGGGGCTATTTAGATCAAGCTAATCCTTGGCCTAGGCAAGGGTTATGGGGGGGTCGACCAGGGTTATGGGGGCTAAACCAGGGTTATGGGGGCTAAACCAAGGTTATGGGAGCTAGATCAGGATTATGGGGGTTAGGACAAGGGTAAAGGGGACCAGGATAGGATTTAAGAGGCTAGGCCAGAATTAAGGGGGCTCCGCAAGGGTTAAGGGAAGAGGACTGAGGTCACATTTTTATTGGCATAAACTAGGTTAAATTTAGTTTAGTTAACATTACTCATTATATTCATGGGGTTACGGGAGAGCGCTGAACGCCCAAGAGTCGTACAAAGCTATGTGAGGTAAACAGGCTCAATTTTGGGGGATCAAGAGACCTAAGGGGTCATGTAACATCTGGGGAATAAGAAGCAATTTGGTATGATCTAAGTTCAGGTTAGCTCCAATTCCCTGGATCTAGAACCTTTCACCAATTAGTGTCCCCGTCTAGCGAGTTATTGGGTATCCTTCCATCACAGTTCTTGTTAAGGATATATTTTTGTATTCAAACGATATTCGTAGATATTCTTCTCTGTGTTTTTAAATAATTACAAATGTACGTTTCACAAGTTTACCGGATTATAATTAAAATTAAATTTTTTTTAAAAAGTCTTCATAAAAATGTGGCTCTTGTCAAATTTACTGCTGACATTTTCAGAATTTAACCATTCACTATCACAAACGGCTATCATAAAAAAAAAATATTTAATTTTTTTTCAAAGTAATATACTAGAGGGGTGCAGTGGCGACCACCACCTGGGGAGTGAGAGAGAGAGGTCGTGTTCCCCCGCCATACACCCTCTCAAGGTAGTAAAAAACTGCTCCCCCGAGGTCAGCCAAGAAGATGAGGACGAAGATTACGATGAGGGAGATTTGCCAGTCTGACAATGGCTCTTGAGAAAGCTCTGATGCTGTGGCGTAGTAAAAGGCGGCCACGTTGGACAACGAGCTGCAGGAGATGAGTAGTAAGGATATAATCATTATATTCATTAAGAAGACGTACATAGTAGGATCATACTACCACCGGTGAACGGACCATTATCAAATCATGACTGACATCGATCTATAGAATGAAGCCTTGTCAAGGTATCATTTCTACTTTGAGGGTTAGTTGACAGTGTGGTGCGTGTATCCCCCCCCAGGGCAAGGGGGATCTCTTACCTCTGGGGTGCGTGAAAAGTTAAGGTTTACACAAAGATACTTAAGGAAAATATCAGGGATGCCAAGCCATCAATCACTCTCTTTCTCCTCACCTCTTCCAGTTCTTCTTGTCAAAAGCGACAAGAGCCACATAGTAGAGCTTGTCGATCTCTATCTCCCGCTCCAGCTCCAGGGTGAGCGAACGGCCAGCCTCCAGCAGCAGGTGTCTCATCTTCTGGGACTCTGGCAGGCTCAGCAGCACAGGATTCTGACAATCATTGTCGAAGTTGCGAAGCAGACTGGTGTGATTGCTGGAGAAGCGGACCTCGTAACCCAACACTAAGGTGACATGTGTCCAAAGGCGCAGTTTTAGTATTCACGAACTTTAGGTTTTCACTGTCTTGACTTTAAATTTCTGCTAACCAAAGCTTCCGAGTTTTTTTTTTTAAGGTGTAACTCAGATCGACTTTATTTAGCTTATATACATCATAGCTATTTTATTTTCCTGTTATTAAAAGTAACTTCTACTTACTAGTCAACCACCCACCACCAAGCCAACTACGCCCACTCACCGATCCACGTCAGTTCAACGCCCACCTGTTCCGTTGTCATAATCATCCCCCGTTGCCGTCCAGGTGAGGGTAATTTTAGGCAATTCAGCTGGGAGCATCTCATCTTCGGCCTCACTATCTGCTCGAACCACCGAGTCGACATAAGGGACGCTGAGTGCGGCCCTCAGGTCCCGCACACGCATGGGCGGGTACATGTTACCTGGATCAGGAAGCTCAACCACCTGTAAATATTACATTCACTAGAGAAGCGCTAAACCAGTAGATGTCACGTACATTGAGAAATGGTATAGTGATACCGATAGGATATGGAAAAAGACACTTATGTACAGTTCAGGATATTAAAAGAAACGTTTCTCCATGAGTGACTTCACTCTTAATACTCGCTTCTTAGTTATCTTTGTATTAGGACGGAAGAAACCACTCGTGGCAAAACGTTTCCCTTAATAAATGTCCTGAACTGTACACAAGTGTCTTTTGCCACGTCACGTACATTGCCTAGGGAATTGGAGGTGGTAACCAAGTTTGATTCGAGGGAGGAGAGGGTAGGTTCCATTCCTCGAATCAAGAGCCCATTAACATCAAGGCACCCCCATCCCCTGTAATGGGTGCCACTTGCATGACTGGGAGAAGCTCTCATGAGATATGGCAATTCCCAAGTGATAGCAACTCCAGCTCTGCTGGAACTAAAACCTTGAAGCTACCGTAGCTGACTTGCCTTTCCACTTGGTTCGCCGGTACTGTCCCTACCCGAGTCTTTTCCAGATGGTGACGCGGAGAGACTAACCTTTGCTAGAATGCTTAACAATATACTCGTTACCCTGCTGGAGTCTCCCAGCTCAGACTGACAGATTTCAACATATACGAGCGCCATCCCGCGTGATGGGATATTACGGTAGCTTTTGTTCCCACTATTATATAAAATAGATCAACAGCATGTTTGTGATGTATCCATTTTTTAATAATAAAAAATATAACTGCGTGACAAGGGAGGTGGGAGACACTGATCGAAAATTGTTCTCGTCTCAAAAAATCTTTTCTATCATTTGGGAAATAAGCACAAATACACTTGTCTATTTTTATGACGGCCAGTGTGTTATATGTAACACCCTGCCTCGGTAGGATACGGTCAGTGTACTGAAAGAAAGAATATATATCATAAGCATACGTTTTAAATGGCAGTTACTTTTCACATTTAGTGAACATAACACAAGGTGTGATTTGGTCTGTAACCAGAGTTATCTTAGTGACAATTTTTTTCAAGGCAGTCGATCTAAAGTTCTGAGGTAGGACCAACAGTTAGAGCTCGCCCCTTCAAGTCAAACAGGTACTTACACACCTGGAACCAAAAAGTTGAGATGGTCATGGTGAAGGTACCAGCACGAGCGGCTCTCTTGCAGTCGAGAGGCACCTCGCCTCCACAGCACCTCCTCTGACCCCCTGCACCATACATACAAAATAATTTGCTTAGACAAAAGTCTGATACAGGACTTAATATTACCATCAATATATTCAAAGGAAAGTGTTTAATTCCCAGAGCTCGTACAAAGAATGGAGAATCAGAGGGTAGTAGGGCAATTAAAACAAAAATTTTAATTAGTTACTGAAGGGTGCTTGGAGTGTAGCACAGGTGAGACACTGGTCGTTGACGTAAGTAGACTTATTCCCAGACACCTGAAGCATACACAATCCTCAGGTTGATAGCTAAACAAATATTTGCAGACAAAGAATAGCTCCCATCTTCTAAATGAATTAACATTTTAACACAAATATTCAGAAATTACTAATTAAAATAATGCGGATAAAGTAAGCATTACACAACAGAGTCGAAACCTTTGTGTTTTTTGTCTGTTTGTAGTCATAAACGTTTGTATATCTCTTTAAATATATTTAATGGAAATATAAACACATATGCAGTATAATGTGATCCTTTATTAACAACGTTTCGCCCACACAGTGAGCTTTTTCAAGTCACAAACAGATCTGTTTGTGACTTGAAAAAAGCCCACTGTGTGGGCGAAACGTTGTCAATAAAGGATCACATTATACTGCATATGTGTTTATATTTCCAATGTGTCGGTATTTTATACCATTTACTTCCAAATGTATTTAATCTAAGTTCCTATTGAGCTAAACACCTACAATTTAATTTACAAAAAAATCGTAACAGGTAATATTACTAATATCTTAATAAATTTATTATGACATTCTACAAAATTTGTGAACTGTATAATAAAGTACCGGAACTTAGTTTTATTTGGCACAAATTCATCTTCGTGTTAGAATAACAGTTATTTTAAATCCCCGATACGAAGATGTTAGAAAGCCTCATGAATGGTTCGACTTTGACCCAACCTTCATAAGACAGGAAAATACCCTTTGAACATGAGCGTTCAAACTTCTAACATTTCACAGCTTTGGGTTCCTTGTCTAATTCTAGATCCTAATGTTTCTTATGAGTTCCCACGCTAACATGGCTAGAACCTTCCATTGCGCGTGTGTAAAGTCAAGGTTTAAAGAAACTATGTCGTAACTGACACCGTTGATACGAACCGGCCCTCCGTTGGAAGGGTACTTCCTGTAGGCAAACAGTTATTAAATCTACCACATAGGATTTAATCCATTAATTATAACAGTGAAAAACACCTTACATACTCAAACTTAGTGTAGGCAAATACATATCATCTTTTATTATGAGTCTAATCTCTCTAAGCATGTTCGAGGTAAAAGGAATTGCCTTCTTGTGTGAGCCTAACGTAAGGATAACTAGGATAAAATAAATGAATCAGTTATACTGATAAGACTGACAGGTACCTTCCATGTAGGCAAAACGTTATTAAATTCTTTACCCAGTAGGATTTAATCAGTGAATATAAACAGCTAATAGAAGCACCATTCATACACTCATGTTAAATAGTGTAGGCAAATACATATCAATCTTTTTATGGGGAAGCACTAAGCCTACAAGTCTAAGCCAATTTGTTCCGAGGAAAAGGAGATATGGCTCTTGATCAGAGCCTTTACCAGAATAAAGGAGCTCACCTTGAAGGAAATAAAATAAAAAAAATTAAGTGAATTTCGCCTTCCTGCTTGCTAAAGTAACACACAGGCAAAGTTACCTTGACCTTGACATAGTATCTGCCAAGGAAGGTGTAGGTTGTGAGGTAGCGGGAGTAGATGCCGTCCTTGGCTTGGTTGTCTCCTAGCTTGCCATCGTCCAGCAGCATCATCTCAAGTTCTCTGTCCCCTGGAAGACGTACACGTGCCCTGGAACCAAAGTACTAAACAGAGGCTTGAAACGAACGAGAGGTATGAAACAGCGCCCACTGATGAACATATCTGAAACGAAGCCCGGGGCCATGCAGAGGCCTGGATCTGCCTCCCAACATATATAAGGGAGATTACCAATAGATCCCTGGCTGTCTTCAAGAAGGCGTCAAGCTAAAGATAGCTAAAGTTAATACCTGATCAGTCGGGCTGTGGTTCGTACGTCGGTTTGCGTGCGGCCAGCAGTAACAGCCTGGTTGATTAGGCCCTGATTCACCGTGAGGCCTGGTCACAGACCGGGCCACGGGGGCGTTGACCCCCGAAACCCTCTCCAAGTATACTCCAGGTTTTGCTATAAAGAGGCCTAGAACTGTGCCGGGTGCTAAACAAGAGACCTGGAACAGCACCCAGTGATAGAGGTGTGGAACTACACATGGAGCTGGAAAGAGGTAGGAAAAGACGCCCAGGGATGCACAAGGTCTGAATCAACAATCAAGGTCTGAAGAACGAACCTGGAACGAAGCCTGGTGTTGAACAGGGGCTAGAACATCTCCCGGTGCTTATCAGAACGATGTCCTAGGATGCTAGGCATACAGTCTCCACCTCTTACTGGGTTGCAGATGGCAAGGATATATAAACCGTATTGTGTATACTGTAATGTCTATGTATATATCCTGAAAGCTTACTTTAATTCCCACTTTATCGATTAAAGCATTATTGACTGTCGGTGAACAGGTGGCATGAAGCTGTAATGATAGTGTAGGCTATAGGCTTTAAGCTTCAATAACCAACAAACTTTAAATAATTTTAATATATTTGTCAATTTTCACCTAGAACCACATCGCATATTTGTGTATTATTATACTCATGGAAACGTGCTAAACCCATAAAGGGGGTTGGGGGTCATACACCGCCTGGGGAAGAGAGGCATTCAGATTAGAGCCGACGAAGGGGCGCACAGGTCCATTTCCTTAGATTAAGAGCCCCTCATTGGCATTAAGGAACCTCCATGGAAGGTAATCAAGTTTGATTCAGGGTCAAGGTAACTAATTCCTTAGAACAAGAGTCCTTCACCAGCATCAAAGCTGTTAAAGGGATACGATTTTAGAGATAACCTGACGTGACCCTCGAACTATAAAATGGGTGAATAAGGGACTCTCAACACTTGGGCTATCTTCAGTGCGAAGTTCCCCCCCCCCCTCCCCACAACCAGTGCTTTTATCAGCCCAATACAGAGGAAAAAACTTAGTTGTGGGTGAATTAATGAAGTCACTGGTTGACGAAATGTTTCTACCGTAAAGTGCTGGACATGGGTCTTATTCATCTAGTCTACTTTCTAAATAATTAGTATAACAATATTCATAAGTGGCATTACCTGACTGTAGCGTTGACCACGGGGTTATTGGCTTGCTTCACCTCTGCGTATATAGCCACGGGAGTGTTGTACACCTTCACCAGTTTTCCTCCACTACCCTGTTTGCATATTTATATGAACACTCTTATACTGATGGAAGAAATCACAATACAACCCGCGAATGCAAATATGTAAAAATACTACAGTGAAAATAGGAAATAAAACCTGAGCGACTTCGTGTGTGATAAAGTACTCTCCGGGTCTTGACTACTCTTCAACAGACTCTCGCTTGTGGTGTTGTAGTAGTCAATCCACAAGTTGTAAAAATAAAAAAAATTCAGCAAAAGACCTTCATTAGTGCAACATTTCGCCTACATGAAACCTCATAAAGTACTTTATAAAGCTTCATGTCTCCTTTTGCCGTGTTTTTTTTTTGTTTATTACTTCTGGTCATCTCTCTCTTATGACAGTCCTAGACAATTTAAATTCTTCGTCAGTTCTTTTATCATTATATAAAATGTTTGTTATCAATACTATTAATGTTGCATCTCCGCCCGCTCGTCATAATTATTAATAAGCAATCAAGTATATAAAAGACAAACCATAAATACTGGACATGTATAAAGTCACTGGACAGCGTCAGACAACATGCACACCTAATTTGATATTTAAACTAAACCCGTAGGAGCCAAATATCACCTGGAGAGAAATGGAAGGCAATTAGATTTAATTCGTGGATGAAGAGGCTCCCTTTACAAACATCAAGATCCCTTCCCCCATCATCTGACGTTTCAGGGGAGACTCACCCAAGCTCTGGCGACAATGGGGTCACCGTAGCGTCGCTGGGAGAACACACTGGCGTACACGTAATGACATGCACTATTATTTGGGTAGAATCTCAAGCGCCACTTCCATATTCCAGGCTGAGAATAGTGGATACAGTATGGTAAGAAACTTAAGTTTCTACATAACGCCAATATTTGTTATGTAATATTGTACTTGAATAGGAAAAGGACACTCGTGCACTCTCGATTTTACCACTGATGGTATGAAATAGAAACAAAGAAAGAATACCGTGACTGGAATAATACACAAATAACCCGTATACAGAAGAATGAAACCTCTGACGACGTTTCGGTCCATCCGAAACGTCGTCATAAGTTTCATTCTCTCGTGCGGGTTATTTGTGTAATACAGACAAGTGTCGCACATGTGTCTTATTTATCTACTCATTTTTATGTTGGCTTTGTGTAGCAGGTATGACCTGAACAACGTTTGTGCTGTTAATTATCAACTGTACGAAGTAAATTACTAAACAGGATTAATCCTAGTTAAAACACAAGAGAGCAAGTCTATTATAATGAAGTTTAATCTCCCTCTTCAGGTTTAGTAAGTCAACACTGACTCAACAGAGCAGACTTACTCTGCATACTGTCTTTTGACCTTACTTGTCGGCACCATTTACCAGTTTAGCCTCGTACTGAACCAAAAGGATATAAATTAAGCTCAATGACAAAACCGTAGAAAATAAAATTTCAGTTTGTTCTTACCTCAGCCAAGGGAATGTATGTAGACCCATCATGGTACATAGGAGTCTTGAGCAACGTACCATGGGGGGTCTCTAGACGAGGGCCATACACAAAATCATCAGCACAGTCTTTGTACATTCTAAACACCAGGTTCTTTCCCATGTCTTGGGCCACAGTAAAGCTCTTCTCTACAGTTACGTTCGAAAAGCTTTCTTTTAGTGACCACTGGTCAACCTGTGTGTGAACGAGGTATTCATTTCTTCATCACTTAATTACATGGAAATATTTCCGATATTTAAGTGTCGTAATTTATATTATATTCTTAGAGGTTATACATTGCATGAAGAATGGCAGGTAATCAGTTTTAATCCAGATGTGACGATAGCTCCAATTCCTTAGATCAGGAGCCTTTCACCAGAATCTTGATATTTGTCAGGCATTAAAGAAATTAAATTAATACCAAAAGTAAAATAAATGGCGAAGAGACATTCAGGTTTATGAAAGTAAAGTTCCAAGGTGTACGAGAAGTATTAGAACCAGTGTGAACTACGACGACTTCAACCATATGGAACTAAGAGAAGCCTGGTTTACGCTACCTTTAACCTGATCTTAGCCAAGTCAATTGGCTGGTAGTCGAGGACAGACTGGAAGGCACCCTCCAGTTTATCTCCGTTGTCGCAATCCAGCACCGTGAAGGTTCTCTCGGCTCGACTCTCAAACCTCTTGTCTGCCATTTTCCTGTCAGAAGTCATACAATATAAAATCAAAATACTCTCTCTTTTTATCACATGCGACAAATACCAGAGTTAAATGAGCTAATTAAAACTTTCACTCTTTTTGTGCTTTGATCTGATACTGCGTTTGAGAACTAAAGGCCAAACATCTCACTCGCCAGACGCCCATACTGCCATTTTGCCCAGATAACTGGTAGCATGAGACACTTAAAACTCACTCGAGTGTGATAGTGACCAGATGGAGACCGGAGTCCAGCAGCTCGTCCAAGGTAGCTGTGTTCTCTCCTCTCACTTCCGTCGCCACCAGACTCTCTAAGGTAGTGGTCTCAGTGTCTTCCGTCTCCGTTTCGTCTGATGTGGTGCTCTCCCCTGTCTCTGAGGTGGTGCTCTCCCCTGTCTCTGAGGTGGTGCTCTCCCCTGTCTCTGAGGTGGTGCTCTCTGATGCCAGATTGCTCTGAGGTCTCTCTGAGGTGGTGCTCTCTGATGCCAGATCGTCGAAGGTCGTGAAGATCTCTGTCTCAATTATTAGCAGGTCGTCTGAGGTGGTCTTCCTTCTCCCTCCCGTCACCAACACTAACACAACATTGGTTAAGCTTCCACTCGTTCCGTTTCCGACCATCTAGATAGCCGGGAGGGAAAGCCATCAGTTTTTGTCACGGTAAGGACAAAATTATGAAAAGATGGCAGAGGAGTGTTTGAAGGTGGACATAAGACTTAAGGTGTGTGTGGGGGAAGGGGATAGCAGACACCTAAACCACAATTACTCGTAAAGTACAAATTAATTTTTATATTGCTATGAAACCTTCAATTAAAGTTTCTTTACCCTCATAGCAAAAAAAGGCACAAACCCGAATGGACCATACAGAGATAGGTAAACTGTAGGAAAATTTGTGGTGTATTTGACTAGTTACCGTATGAAATCAGAGAAGCAAAAAGTAAATCACAAAAGCAACTCACACTTTTAACCTTGTAGAAAATAGTACTGAGCCTGGAGTTATCTGTATGATCAGCCTTAACAGTGATGTTCAACACATTAACCTTGTTGCTGGTGCCACCGTGTATATAACCATCACCAAGCCACAGCACCAGGGAGCGACGGATGTTAGTGTCCGTCAGTAAAGTCAGGTCCACCGTGCTTAGTCCCGTGTCTCTGTTACAGACAAACAACTATTACTAAAACATTTTGTTTCTCATTTTTCATTGGTACCCTCATAAGTTGTGAAGTCTTAAATGTTTTTTATATCTGCCTTATGAAAAAATGCTGCTAAGATATCAAGTAAATGCCTCCTGAATTCCACAAAGGTATAAATTATTCAACACACATAAGAGGTAACAGGAAAGGGGGCATCGTTTCTATATATGTTAGGGGGGGATTTAATTTGTTGTATCAGATACGGTATAAAGATAAAGGAGAGACACTGAATCTGTTTAGCTGCAGTTTCTCCAAGGAAATAAAAGCTAATTTTAGGCGTGGGGAAACGTCTTTGGGACGAAAATGGTAAGATATCTTAAAAACGAAAATGTTTTAATGGGAGATTTTTAATTTTAGCCAAATAAACTGAAGCTATTTGATAGGAAAGCTAGTCTAATGACTTTACTGAAATGGTTCACGACTGCTTTTTAAAGTTTCAGAATAGGCTGGAGGAGACAACCTGGTGGGCTTGGTTCTGGCAAACAAGGATCCTTTGATAGAGGTTATTGAAGAGATTGGAGAAGGCGATCATCAATCTATTTTAATATCTCCCGGAATTACCTGAATAACGATAACAAAGCTTCAGGTCCCCAATTTTCACGCTGCAGATTATATGGAGCTATGGGATTGTCTGAGAAGTGTAGGCTGGGGTAACCTGACTAGGGACTATAGTGAGGAAGATCAGATAGAAAGTGGCGATGGCTGCCAATATATTTCCTAAGCACTGTACAAACTGGTCAGGCTGCATATATTCTTAATACATAATTTGGATCAAAACACGAATGACTAAATGAATAGACTAAAACATATCATGAGTGAAAGGAGAAGTTCAAGAGGTGAGGGATCACCTTTCTGAACAATATATTCAGTTTAAGAGGCCAAAAAAAAAAAAACGATAGGGGAAGATCACAGGAATATGAAAAACCAAGGCAAAGAAGTCGCCTAGCCTTTAGCTGTTTTTACAGACTCTAAAGGAAGAAAGGCAAGTAAGAATTTAGAAAACCATTAGCTAATCCTTTCATCGCTACAAACCACTATCATACCGGATAAATGGAAAATGGCAAATGTGATACCCATTTACAAACTATAGGTCCTTGGCTTCAAATTATGGATTGATCAGAGTAATCTCAATTGTGATTAAGATAAATCATTAGTCACCGATGCAGATCGAAGCTACCTTGAAAGATTTAATTTGATCAACGAATATCAGTCTTACGAATTTACTGACTTTTTTCCACAAAGGTGTTCGATGTAGTAAACGAAGATTAAGGATACAATACTGTGCAAAAAGACTTCATTCCACATAGAAGACTGATTAAGAAAATAACGGCATATGGAATAGAGGGAAAAATCTCCCGAGTCGTGACAAGGCTGAGCGATGGGCAGAGTTTGCATAGGAAAAATCTGAATTTGGACTTATTACGAGTGGTGTGCCACAGGGGTCAGTGTTGCGACCCCTGTTTTATAATCTACATAAACGACAATGAGAGGGAAACAGTGACAAGTTTGTCAAGATACTAAAATAGGCCTTCAAACAACTTCTAATAAAGACACTAGAAGGCTACAGGTTGACGTGAATAAGTTGATGTTGTGATCGGAGAAGTGGTAGATACAATACAATGCAGAACGTATAAGGTTCTAATCCTAGGTAAAGGAAATATCTATTACACTTATAAGCTAAACAATGTAGATTTTAGTCAAAGTTAGCAAAAATTTAAAGTCAAGATAGCTGCGCATAAGTGTTTACAAGAAAGCTAATAGAATTCTTGGTTTCATATCAAGAAGGATAAATACAAGTTCCGAGGTTATACTTCAGATTTCTGTACCTTTGATTATGCTGCTCATTTCGGGTCTCCGTATTACAAGATGGACATAAATGCACTAGAAAATATACAGAAGGATGGAGGTGATTCCACGTACTAGAAACCTTTCCTATGAAAATAGGTTGAGAGCAGTGAACTTGCACTCTTTTGGAAAGGCGTAAATTATGACCGGGGATATGATTGAAATGTACAAATGAAAAATAGGAATAAATAAAACGGATATAAATGGTATGTTGAAAATGTGCAACCAAGGCAGGACTCGCAGCAATGGATTCGATTTGAAGAAATTTAGATTTAGAAATTATAATGAGACGTATTAGTATGGCAGTAGTTGTAGATAAGTGGAGCAAACTCCCAGGTAGCGTCATTGGGATAAGAACTTTGGTATTATCGAAATTTCTTGCCAGTAGACTCATGCAGCACTAGCATGGGCCAATAGGCTTGTTGCAGTGTACCTTCGTTCTTAATCACTTGAGTTATCCTAACGATACCAAGGGTAGCTGTTTTCCAGCCCTCCTTGAGGAACTAATGTCAAAAACTTACGTTATCTTTATGATACCGAGGTAGCTTCTGCTAGACAACTGGTGTAGGATCCAGGAGTAGGCAGCCTGCAGTGTCCTGTTGATGCAGGAGAGACTTCCCGTGAAGTCAAACACAAGAATGTACTTGGTTGCTTCTTGCAAGGCCAATGTGAACGTAGGTGCAGTGTTAGTGGGAGGTGTCCTGTGGTAGGAAAGGTGATGATAAACAAGTACATGTGAGGACAGTCACGATTAGCAGACGTAGGATCGAGCCTCTATCAGTCCTTGCGCTGTACTCCATACCCATCCTATTGCTATAATCAAAAAACTTAACACACATTGGCTCAGACTGCTCGAAAATACTATTGACTATATTATAGCATTAAGCAGCTATTTAAAGAAAATAAAATAGATGAAGACAATCATATAGAAATATATAAAAAAAGAGACTACACAATACATGGAATCAAGTAGTCAGCCACTAGGTTCCGGCACACTGTCAGCAAGGTTACAGTGCGTCTGAAAAAAAATGATAGACAACAGACGAAGTTTGCAAAATTTTCTAGGGATTATAGGGATTAATTTTTGGGATTCAAATCATGATATAAGGAGCACAAAATCTGTTCACTCTTCACAACTCAGTTATTACAAGATTGCTTCATAGATTTAATAAAATTATATTAAAAATGGACTGGATCAAGTGAATATGCTAAGCTACTTCAACGTGGCTCTTACCACACTAAGCTACCACATACGTTATCTCCAAGTTATTACCTCCCTAAAGGGTTCTTGATCCAGAGAATTACAACTACCTTTCCCTTTGATCAAACCTGATTACTTTCTGATTTTCAGGGCAATGCATGACCCCCTACAGGTTTAATGTTTCCCCAAGGAATATAGTAACTTATCTTGCGAATACAAGCATTGGAAACCATTACTGCAGCCTGTACAACGACCGGAGAAGCGAGGTAATTGGACCTGAATAGTGGAAGGGGAGGTTAGCTCCAATTCTTAGAATCAAAAGCCCTTCAAGATCATTAAAGCACCTCTCCTTTGAAGAGAATAGTAGTGAAGATTTACCTTAGATCCGATGGTGGGTGACTGAAATCTTTGTGGCGGCTGAGCACATGCCAGAGGGAATTCCCTCCACACATCACGTTGTGTCTGGTGGGGGCCACCTCGTTGTGATGGTACACGAGGTGCTTGAAAGAACTGGCAGGGCCGCAGAATCCCACCCTCTGGGGGAGTCATTTGTCTGTTTCATTAACTAAGTACTATTATTATAAACGAAGAATAAGAGGAACTCTCCAGCATATCTATAGCTCATGCTAGGCAGGTTAACTCGTGCTCAGCCACACCCACTTATACACCCGTCCAATTTATATTTAAAACTATACAAAGTACTGGCCTTAGTGACGCTACTTAGATCGTTCTACTCATCTACAATTATTTTTTTATTGTAGTATTGCATTTACGGAAAAGTGTTCAATCTGCACCTAGGGAATGGAAAGCCTTCAGGTTTGAGCCTAAGGAAACGTCGGCTCCAATCCCTTAGATCAAGATCCCCATCAGCGTCAAATGCGTCTCTTGGATGATCACACAGGATCATTAGAACGGTCTGATTAGTCAAAACTTTCAACAGCGACTTGCAGTATTATTAATTAGATATGACCATCTTGTTACTTTCGTGACTTACTGCCATGTTGCAGAAATCACAAGGTAAACAAAACTTTAGACGAAAGGGAATTTTTTTGCAACACGCTGGCCGTCTCCCACCGAGGCAGGTGACCCAAAAAAGAAACTTTCACCATCATTCACACATAATCACTGTCTTTGCAGAGGCGCGCAGATACGACAGTTTAGATGTCACTCCAAACAGCAAATATCCCAAACCCCTCCTTCAAAGAGTAGGCATTGTACTTACCACCTCAAGGATTCAAATCTGGCTGTTTCCCTGAATTTCTTCACAAATTGCCCTGCTCACACCAACAGATCGTCAAGTCCCAAAAACCATTCGCATCCACTCATTCCTATCTAACACGCTCACACATGCCTGCTGTATGTCCAAGGCCTTTGCACACAACCTCTTTCACTCCCTCCATCCATCCTTTCCTAGGACTACCCCTACCCCTCCTTCACTCCACTACAAATTTCTACACCCTCCCAGTCATCCTATTTTGCTCCATCTCTCTAAATGACCAAACCACCTCAATAACCCCCTCCTCAGCCTTCTGAATAATTCTTTTAGTAACTCCACACCTAATTTCCACACTACGAATTCTATGCATATTTACGCCACACATTGCCCTTAGACACATCTCCACTGCCTCCAGCCTCCTCGCTAAACATTCACAACCCATGATTCACACCCATATAAGAGTGTTGGCGCCACTACACTCGTACATTCCCTTTTTTGCCTCCATGGATAATGTTCTTTGTCTCCACAGATACCTTAACGGACCACTCACCATTTTCCTTCTTCAATTCTATGGTTTACCTTATCCTCCATAAACCCATTCGCCGACAAGTCAACTCCCAAATATCTGAACAAGTTCACTTCTTCCATACTCCCTCCCTCCAATCTGATATAAAAATGTGTCTATCTAAATCGTTTGATACCCTCATCACCTTACTCTTATCTATGCTCACTTTCGACTGTCTTCCTTTACACTTCTTCCCAAACTCGTCTACTAACCTCTGCAACTTCTCTTCAGAATCTCCCAAAAGCACAGTATCATCAGCAAAAAGTAACTGTCAACTCCCATTTTGTATTTGACTCCGCATAATTTAATCCCACCCCTCTCCCCAACACCCCTAGCATTTACTTCTTTTATAACTGTCTCTAAATATGTTAACCACGATGACACTACGCATCCCTACTTTTACTTGAAAGGAAAAATATCTCAATCATTTGTTGGGTTCTTAGGCGGGCAAGCAGTCTGTGAGGAGTAGCAACCCTCCCAGAGAAGACTCCCCTAGGTATAAAAAAAAAAAAAAACCAATGCATTAAGATGACGGCGTGTCGGGAGGTCTGAGCAAACGGGCGCCACACAACCATCGGCAGTGACATTGTAACATCAAATGATTAATATATTCAGGTGGAACCACTGAACCTTCAGCACTTAAATACAGAGCTGTGGCCCAGGATGAATTGCACAAAATTCCTGGGTGAAAAACATTTTTCAGTGTTCTGGAGGTAGAGGAAGGGCTAATGAAGAGAAATGGCTACCTTGATAAATTTTGAATTCTTGGCGAGAGAGACTATTTACTTTAAACAGTGGGAAGCATTTAGAGGTTCAGTTACTATCTACACGTCATAATGACGTAAGCTACTCACAGTGTTGCCATAGTAGTGGGCTGTGAAGGTGGTGCCTTGAAGATGGTGCAATGAACAGTCTCCACTCGTAGTGTTGTAACTCTGGCAGCACCGCCCACTACCAGTGTTCAGGCAGCATTAAATAGAAAATTATAATTATTAAAAATTAATTATAAAAGAGCCCAGATCTCAACCAACGATATATAGCCTGAATTTTATGCCTCTTTTCACGCCTTCCGTTCTATAGACGGATTTTCAGAATTGCACTCATCTCCATACCTTGCAAGTGGAGATTAATGCTTTTGTGAATTAACATTCTGTAAACAAGGAGTTATTGGGGATGGAACCCGGGTTAGTCAGTGCTGCTGCTGTTCCCACATTCTGATCACCTTTTATAATTCTTTTGTTATATTCTTGGGAAGCGCTGAACCCACAAAGATAATACAGAGTCTGGAAGACTGAAGGTAATCAGCTTTAGTCTAAGGGAGGGTAACACCACCACCTCTGATCAAGAGGCTTACCAGCACCAAGGTACACCTCGAGCTGGAGGTACTTACGTCAATGGCCATTTAGGTGTGTGGTGGGCGCAGTAGTTGAGCCTGGGCACGGGTTTACCTCCTTGCCCAGGGTGGCAATACACCAGGGGAGATATTGGGTCGTCTGGGTAGCCGTACTCCTCGAAGACGCCCCACCGCACCCTCGCCCACTCCTTCACCAGAGCCTTATCTGCCCATAAGGAAGTACTTATTTTTTAAGGTTGCTGCAAGATCCTTCACCAGAGCCTCGCCTGTCTGTACGGAATTTTCCCTCAACTTTGAAGTTACGGGAAGATCTGGTAAAATAAATTTTAGGAAAGAACCAAGTTTAGAGATCAAAAGAACGCACTGACTTAATAAACCACTCAGCGCCTTTGAAAAAAAGCATGAACACAGTAGTAACAAATACCACATTAAGTTTAACCTCAAGGCGAGGCAATTGACAATGCAAACCATGATCTCAGGCAAAGCCTAAAATTTAATAAAAGTCCTCCACCAGCTCACAGACAGCATTATCATGCACTCCAGCTCCTCACTCACCATGTGAATAAAGACAAGGTTAACCAAACATATAACCGAACACCAACAAAGAAAACTGTACTCTTTACTCTCCCATGCCCCCTCCGCCTCATCTTGGGTTAAAATTTTCACGAAATGCTTTACATGTCTCATTAGAAATAATTGGTAGCTTTGGAAAAATATTTTCCCTTAAGAAAATGAGCATCTAGAGGATACGTTCAAGTCTCACCTGGTGGTCCCCACAAGGCGGCCTGTGCTGTGTCAGTGAGGTATTCTGGAGAAAGATGGATATAGCGTCCAGGATCGCCACAGAGTCCAGGCTGGACAGTGTAGGGCTGGCCCAGGTACACTTTGCTCTGTTTATCTATCCTGATGACGCTTTCCTGACAAAAAGTAACATTTACTTTGATTCAAATGGTACACTGTCGACAATAATTTAGGGGGACGGTTTCGGTGTGTAGAGCTTTATATATCGAGCAACGACTTTAAAGCTCTAAAGAGTTAACCCTCAAGGGAGGTTCCTTGACGCTGGTGAGGGGCTCTTGATCTAGGGAATTGGATCTGTGCTCCGGTTCCTGAACCGAGCCTGAATACCTTCCATCCCCCATTATTATTATTACAATCAAGGGGGAAGCGCTAAACCCGGAGGATTATACAGCGCCTGGGGGGGAGGATGTGGAAGGCATTCAGGCTTAATTTGGGGAACTGGAGCACAGATCCAATTCCCTAAATCAAGAGCCCCTCACCAACATCAAGGAACCTTCCTTGAGGGGTTCCATCCCCCAACATGCGCTGTATAATCCTACGGGTTTAGCGCTCCATGATTATAATAATGTACAGAGTGACACGTTCTCCCAATATAATACAAATTTGTTTGCAATGTTATCTATTATTCACCATTATCCTAAATTTTTAATTAGCAGCATTTCAACCCAATACGACCCTAGATCAAATTCTTCGAGCTGGGGGCTACTGCTTGTGAGGTCTCTTCAGATATATTCTGGCCGCCCCGCCCGCACGGTCATCCACTCAGCTGCTCACCACACCCTGAGCCATCCAGAAGAGGGATTCAGGACTCCTGATGGAGGGTCGGGAGGAGCACTAAAGCCGTAAGGGTAATGTATCATCTGGTCCTTTCACAATCAAGGAACTCATTCCCTGGAAGGCGAGGTAAAGGAATAAAGCATTCGACGGGGCGGCTAATTTACAAGCAGTCTCTTTCAAAGATCAGGCTTTGACTTCATATTATTTCTCGAGTAGTATATGTAAACGACCCGTCACCAGCAATCTCCTGACGCATGTAGTTTACAGATGCAGCTGATTGGGATACGAAGAAAAGTAAACGATGGCGAGAGGATTCAGGGAACAGAGCTGTTCAATTTACAAAAGCATTAGGACGGTTCTTGTTTAGCGATTTTAAAATGTTACTAACATTGTTTTCCCTATTATTACAAACGTTCAGGAAATTTAAACATTTCACTACAATCAGTAGATTTATACAAGAAAACATTGCGGCTAGTACAATAATTGTAGTCAGGAACCTAAACTGGAAACTATTCATGAAGCTGTAATTTCGACTACAAGAAGGTTATTATTACAATCATAACTAAGCGCTAAACTCACAAGCGTCATACAGCGATATGAGGGTTATTAAGACTGATCATAACATCTCACCATTAGTCAACCCCCGAAATAGGTATTGAAATATATTAAATATACAGGCGTTTCGGTGAATATGTGTATGATATTGGTGCGAAAATGCAGCATTGGCTTGAGCTCGCACTATATAAAAAAACATTAAGCTTAGAGCAGATTTGTCACTAGATGGTTCTGGGAGCTATGGAACATGAAGACAAGACATATAAGGTTAAACCATACCACGGGTGGGGTTAGAACCCGCGATCAGAGTCTCAAAACTCCAGATCGTCGCGTTAGCCACTGGGCCAGCTAGCCACAATTAGCTGGTCCAGTGGCTAAAGCGACGGTCTGGAGCTTTGAGACTGATCGCGGGTTCTAACCCTGCCCCTGGTATGGTTTGTTTGTAATCGTGTCATACAGGGTTATTTACAGGAAGGTGACACGGTAGACACGAGAGGGTCCCCAACAAGAGAGCACAGATGGAAGTTGCAGATTGAAATGAGCCACAACACACAAACTTACCTATTAAAACATATGCTGCAATAACCAGCACTCTCTACCGCAAAATGCAAACACTACAACCTTTCTTTCTTAAACATAAAAACGTCTTTCCAGCTAAGCTTACAAACTTCCACCTCAAACCTTCCATCCACCACTTACCACCTTAGGAACTGTACCTCAAAGCGCTCAGTGGTTGTAATGGTGAAATTAAGATGAGCCCAGGTGAGAGGAATGATGAACTTAACGTTGCCAAAGTATACTCTGCCCCGAGTGGCAGCAAACATAACCTGGGAGGCAGACCTCATCATAGCCTGTGATAACATAAATATGACAGACTGCATGGAAAATAAACAGATATCAAACAAAAAAAAATGAACGTTGATTTAAATCCGACAAACTGACTTTACTGAAAAATTGTGAGAACTGTAAGTTTATACCGTTTAATGGTGAAGGACTTTTTGATCAAAGGAATTAGCTAGTCTCCCATTTTATTTTGGATTAAACTTGATCTCTCATTCCTTAGCTGTGTGACCTTTACGGGTTAAAGGCTTTCCCGAAAACATTAATTACTAATTAGATAACATTAAAATTTCAACATGGTTGTTGAAACAACTCTTCAAAAGAGATACCACGATGAATAAGCACTCTTGATTGAGGAACGAACTAATCCCTTCAGCGGATTAACCAGGAACTAATCCTTCAGCGGATTAACTAAATTACCTCCCATCCTTCAGAGGCCGTAAGACTCACACGGGTTTAGCACTTCTCCACTTTGCGTAAAACAAAAAAATAAGAGCAAACTGACTGATTTTAAATGCAAAAATAATGATTAAAAACTATTAAAAATGAGTTAATTTACTAGCTATGACATTAGTTAGTCGCTCTATTAATGTCAAAAAACAAGAAAAATCACCTGAACTAAATGAATGGTGATTTCAGCCATGCTCGAGTGTAACGAGGGTGAGAAAGCCACTGTGATTCCCTCATACTTCTGATTGACCACTGTGATGTCTGCAGCGCTGAACGTCAACAACTCCAGCACAACCAACAACGTCCAGAATCTCATCCCTTCATACAATAACAGACGTAGAGAAGAGGCTGTAAAACAGAAATTGGGTGGTTGGTTTATGGGGTTTAAAGCCTATCGACTATACTAGGGTCATTAATGGCTGCAGGCCACCTATACATCACCAGTCAACAACACTTAAATCCTAGAGAGGGATTCAAAGTAAGCTCTCATTGCATGGTATATACACAGACACACAACTTCCAGTGCATATATGTATGACAGGCTGTAAAATCAGCAAGCTAAAATAAGGGCAGAATGGAAACATTGAAGGTAACAAAAATGCTTACCATTTGTGTTCAGTGCTCTCGAAAAACTTGGTCACCAAAGTGAAAAAAAAGACCGTTATGCAAGTGTCTTGTCAAAGCGAATTGTGTTTAGCTTAGTGGTACCCTTATCTGCTCACAAACATAAGACCTGGGTTCAATCCTAGCAGAGGTGAGAAGTACGTACAAGTCTCCTAATGTCTATTGCCCAGTTCACATAAGTAGTTGTCTTGATATTAGTTGACTGTTTGTGAGTCGCGTCCTGGGAAAAAATGAAAATATGCCACGCTGTACGACTTTGTTATTATTATGGGTGGTTAAAAACCATTCAAGGTTAATATTTTCACGCATATTGCTTGAACCTAGTACTGTAACATTTATCTTTGAATCCTAGCAGTAAGTAGGTACCTGGGTGTTAGTGGACTGTTATGGGTCGCATCCTGGAGAGTGGTAGTTTATCTTAGATAGGGTTGTGCTTTGAAACGAGCTGCGGTGGGATAACAGTTCCTAAAAAAAAAAAAATACCACGGGCGGGGATAGAACCCGCGATCAGTCTCAAAACTCCAGACCGTCGCGTTAGCCACTGGGCCAGCTAGCCAGTGGCTAACGCGACGGTCTGGAGTTTTGAGACTCCTGACCGCGGGTTCAAATCCCGCCCGTGGTATGGTTTGTTTGCAATCGTGCCATAGAGTTCGTCACGGCCACGCTAGCTGGAGATTCGTCTGTAAAAACCTGCATTTGTGGTCACAGTGGTGCCTATGCTAACCTTCCTATGGTGTAGAAATATACCTAGTTAGACGAATCTTATTGTGGCTAGCTGGTCTAGTGGCTAACGCGACGGTCTGGAGTTTTGAGACTGATCGCGGGTTCTATCCCCACCCGTGGTATGGTTTGGTTGCAATCGTGTCATTACGATTTCGTGAGTCACGTTAACAGTTCCTAGCCTGTAAAACTGATATGTAAAAAATACTTTAGGATACTCCACTAGTCCAGAATACTTTAATCCCTAAAATATGGATTAAACTTTGTATAAACACAAGATATATGTACATCTCATATATACCTTATGAAAGACTGATGTCAGTACTTCATCCTCTTGATGGAAATAGGTCACTGACTTTTTTGGGTAATCCTAGGTTCTCTACACACATTCTATTATGTATAATCTATGTAACTGTATTTGTGTATACCTGAATAAACTTACTTATTTACCGACAAGAGATGTTGATGTCTGTGGTGGTGCTGGTGACCCGCTGACTACTGCACCTCACTGCTGTCTGTGACAACCCTCCTGTGAAGCTCTGGTAACACACACACACACACACCTCAAGGGATGTTTCTTGATGCAGGTGAGGGGCCCTCGATCTAAGGAACTGGACTTTTCTTCCCCTTTCTTGGATAGAAAATGACTGCCTCTTATTCCCCAGGCGCTGTATGACCCCCTCAGGGTTAAATATAACAATAATAATCCAGTAAAACACACCCGCACACACTCATGCTCGAATAAACAGCGAGACTAGAGTAAGTTCAAGATTCTCAATCTAAACATTTGCTCTTCCATGATATTTACCACATGTAGACTACAGGCTAGTATACCTAGAGGTGTACATCTGTCAGTGTATACATACCGAGAGTTTACTTTAACTCTTATTTTAAGCATTAGTGATGCATAGAAGAAATTTGGCCCTAATGATCCTCGCGTAGTCGACCAACTCACTGTGTTACACGGGTGTCAGTTTTTCTGTTGTGTTGTGTTGTGCATCTATTTCCTTTCGCCTCATTATGTTTCGGTTTTATTTAATTTTCCTTTGTAAACGAGTATGGCGGATGCCACACTGTGCAATTAAACAGGCTTTCATTACAGTCTTTAGTGTTACAGTATAATGGATGGCCAATATATGGCATATGTATGTTGGAGTTTAGATAAGTATATATAATATATAAGTATATTATAATAATATATATAAAAGTATATATATATATATATATATATATATAAATATATATATATATATATATATATTATATATAATAATATATATATATATATATATAATATATATATATATATATAAATATATATAATGTCGTGCCGAATAAGTAAAACTAGTCATTTATTTTAGTATTATAATCAAAGAGGAAGCGCCAAACTCGCATGATTATACAGCGCCTGTGGGGGAATGTGGAAGGTCTTCAGGTTTAATTCAGGGAACTGGAGCAAGAGCTCATTTAAAACTAAACCCTTTCTAAAATTTTCTCTTATACATTTAAAGATATATTTTTTTCGTTTATGTTAATATAAAAATTAGTGATTTTGTATCAAAAGTACCCTAGGAAACTTACCTGACCTTATTTATTTATTTATTTATTTATTTAGAAATTTAGCATACATACAGAGGTACAAAAAAATACAGGTAAGAGCAGCATGCCAAAGCCACTTATTATAACCTTATTTTAACAAGCGCAATTTAATTTAGCCTAATCCAACTAAATATATTTTATTCAATTTCATAATAATTTAATAATAAACAAAGAATGAAATGTACTTTCTCGTAAGATTCAAAATGATTTTTTGCGAAATTATTGCATATAAAAATTTTTGCTTGCCCTATTCGGCAAGAAGTGCGTTGCTATTTAAGGCAAAATCGCAAGTTTTACTTATTAGGTACGACATATATAATACATGATTTTTTGTATCATTGACTTTAATATCAAAACTTAAAATTAAGCTATATGTTTAGTACGATTAGGTTACAATAAATTACGTTCATTATAGCAAGGTTAGATGGGATCTCTAAGTTTGGCCCCCTCAAGGAAGGTTCCTTGATGTTGGTGAGGGGCTCTTGATTTAGGGAATTGGATCTGTGCTCCAGTTCCCCGAATTAAGCCTAAATGCCTTCCACATCCCCCCCCCTGGCGCTGTATAATCCTCCGGGTTTAGCGCTTCCCCCTTGATTATAATAATAATAATAATCTAAGTTAGGCTTGGTGCAAAATTAATTCTTTTTAATTTTCAGTGAAAAATATACTTAACCCATAATTTTTTAGTTAATTTTTTAGGGGAGTATGGCTTGACTGACGAATTTTACTTATGAATACGATACATATACATATATAACTTCACCAATAGATGTTCCTCTTCGGAATCTTATACGTAAGAGTAATAAAAGAATCAAAGCCGGGGAAAATATCTTTATTTTTAAATTTCCAAAAATTTTGAAATCTCAAACCCCATCAGTTCTAAAATATAAGAGAACTTTGTCATGTTAGGAAAAAATTGTTAACTTAACCTATCGTGTATACATTGTTAAAACTTATGACTAAAAAAGAAAATAATGTGTGAACAGCTGTATGAGCAAGGAAGAAGGGTTAAGGCGAGGCTTTATTTTGACTATATAGAAGATTACGAGGTCGAGTCTTTGTGGTTTTGAAGGCAATACTGTGAAATCCCCAGAGGAATAACAGTTGATCTATTCACAGTGTTCTCTGCAGAATAAGGCGGCTCAGAGAAAGTCCAATACAGAAAGATTGACCTATATATTCCGAGATACAGTGTTCAGCTTTCTCTATGTTCATTACTTGCCTTAAATAGTTGAAGTTCTTAATTTAACACTTTTCTCTGACATAATACACATATATGCACAAATTATTTTACAGAGGAATTAAGGTTAAAATCGTATAGACTCAGTCTCAGAGAATGATGAATTCTGTGCCTTGGCTAAACTAGCATTAAACAGAGATCATTAAAAATAATTTTGGTTCTGGAACAGTTTAAAATAAATTAATACAATCAAATCAATAAAAAAAATGAAGCGCTATACCTACAAGTCATAAACAAATCAATACATTAGTTTGAAGTAGGACAGTACAAACAGGAGCTACCACTAACAGAGCCATTATCTACCATAATGAAATGTGTCAAATAAAGAATTTGTGGAGAAAAAAAAAATCAGCAAACTACAAGAACTGTCACTACTAAATTAAGGTTTGGCTGTATCTATTGCATCTCAGCTTGTATGGAAAGTCACAATCTCAGTATATGTTGAGTGTGGACAGAGACAGGGACACACACTAGAACATTTTATTTCAATGTCCAAACAGAAAATCAATAACTTCATTGTTAATAAGGTATTTTTAATTCACACTTGGCCCCGTCTAGATGAAAGAGTTCGTATTATGAGAGTGTAGCCTAGTATGGGATCAATTTGTAGTGGTAATGATAAATCTGAAGTTTTTGAGAATACCCATATTATTGCATCGGCTAGACGGTTAGCTATATGAAATGACTGAAATGTATTCACGATGTAACTATGACCAGTGGAGTCTAACCAAGACCCTTTGTGATCTCGTATCATGTTTTTTGAGATAACATTCAGTGTGAGCAGCGGGTACTTCAACTAGACATTCCAGTGGCACAACAGTATGATGAAAGGAAAAGCGCTAAAGCCATAGGGGATCGGATGACACTCGGGTTTCTTCCGTTCAGTGTGCCCTCTTCAGCTCCTTAAAACTGGCTACTTTCTTCATATTATTTCCTTTTGTGCACCATGTAACCAACAAGAGCGACGACCGCAACGATGAAGGCGACAGCGACCAGAACGACAATAGCCCATACAGGCATACCACTGGTGTCTGGGGATGAGGCTGGCGGAACCATGGCAGTCACCAAGTTAGACACAGGACTGTGGTAGGAGGAACAGAGAGGGATGAGCAATGAGAGATGTTGCTGACGAGCTCACTCAAAATACTATTATTACTACTTAATTATTACTATATAATTACTGCTACTAGTTATAACTACTACTATATTTACTAACTACTGCTGCTATTACTATTAGTAATAATAATAATAATAATAAATAAATAAAAGTTACATGTTATTCGATTTCATTAAGTAATTGCAGGTGGAATCTCGAGTTCAGTATCCTCCCATATCCTATTTTATGAAATAACCTACGCCCTCTCAACCATCTAGTAACAGTAGATAGTTTTTTTTTTTTATCGTGGCAGCAGTGCGTCCTCTGCAGAAAGCATAGATGTGGAATGAAAAGTCTTCTTGTTTGTCTTTACCCTATGTACCCTAGCCTCTCTCTTTAGGGGTGTAAAACAAGGGATACCATGTGCTTTCATTATGAGGGATAAAGGACCGTGAGCGGACCGAGAGACGAAGCCGAGCCCTGGCCGTGGGCAGACCTGGTGACAGTGTATTGTCTTGCAAGACTTGTTTCAGAGAGGCAGCCTCTGAAACGGGTGCTGAAGGTCCCAGATTGAGGCTTATACGGCAGCTGCGGTGGATTGCTAATTGTAAGCGTACTTTTATTCAATATAATTCGTATTCACATACTCATGATTGTGTAGTAAATTATTGATAACCCCCATATAGAATTATATTTCCCATTCCCAGCAGCCCTTATATCAGCAGCAGAAAATTTTTTCAAGTAATATATGCCCTATAGTCAGGAAAGAATACTGACTGAGGTGTCTCGTGGCTCAGTTAGTAGCGAACTCAGCTCACATCACACACTGAGGGACAGAGTTCGATCCCCGGTACAAGTAAAAACGCTGGGTATATTTCCTTACACCTATTACCCCTGTTCATTTAGCAGTAAGTAGGTACCTGAATGTTAGCCAATTGTGTGGCTCGCATCCTAGGGAGAAGGGGATTAAAGGACCCAATTTGAAATAAGAGTCATAGATGACATCCTGTACACATAAGATGATTAAAACGAAGTCGTATACACAGGAGGTCCTACCTACCTGGTATTATTGAAGTCATCCAGAGCTCTGAGCGCCAGATAATACACCTTATCGAGTTGTAGTTCTTCAAGATTATCGAGGTAGAGGTTGACCTTGTGTCCAGCCTCGAGGAGGAGCTCTGACATGTTGCTGGAGTCCGAGTAGGAGAGGAGGACCAGAATGTTGGTGTTGTAGAGAGAAGCATCCAGTAAGCTGCTCCGGTTGACACTCATCCGCACCTCGTATCCAGACACTGCAAACGATTATCTTTCCTTAATTAACCACGCTTATTCTTCTGCATATTAATTACGTAAGTTTTTTAAACAATTGACCCTTCAAGGGAGCATGCTTGGATTATCCATTGAGCACAAATGGACATAATACCAGGGCCTACAAAAAAGTATTACCTACATAATATCATAATCATAGTATGAAATAGTCTTTGATGAAACCTATACACCGTATACAGGTATTTACCTATAGTTATATCTTTTGAGTCTACAAAAGCCTCTGTCACTGTCAAAAAGGGTGCCTTGATGCTGGTGAAGAGCTCTTGATCAAGGAAATTAGAGTTACGCTCCCTCGGATCCATCGTGATTGCTTCCCCAGAATGGGAGGCAATTACTGAATAAACATCTCGAGTTCTTTCAGGTTGTCAGCAATCCATCACGAGGTTACAATAGGGAGAAATGGGAAATTGAGGTAAAAATCAGATCTCCGTGCAGCCAATGATCAATACTACATTATGATGTATAGAACTGTGTGAATAGTATTGACCCGTATATTAGAGTGGTATTGAACTCTGAGTAGTACTGACCTCTGAGTGAATGGCATTGACACCACTGTGAGTGGTATTGACTACTGTATGAGTGGTATTGACCACTGTGTGAATGGTATTGACCACTGTGTGAATGGTATTGACCACTGTGTGAATGGTATTGACCACTGTGTGAATGGTATTGACCACTGTGTGAATGGTATTGACCACTGTGTGAATGGTATTGACCACTGTGTGAATGGTATTGACCACTGTGTGAATGGTATTGACCACTGTGTGAATGGTATTGACCACTGTGTGAATGGTATTGACCACTGTGTGAATGGTATTGACCACTGTGTGAATGGTACTGACCACTGTGTGAATGGTACTAACCACTGTGTGAATGGTACTGACCACTGTGTGAATGGTACTGACCACTGTGTGAATGGTACTGACCACTGTGTGAATGGTACTAACCACTGTGTGAATGGTACTGACCACTGTGTGAATGGTATGACCACTGTGTGAATGGTACTGACCACTGTGTGAATGGTACTAACCACTGTGTGAATGGTACTGACCACTGTGTGAATGGTACTGACCACTGCGTGAATGGTACTGACCACTGTGTGAATGATGCTGACCACTGTGTGAATGGTACTGACCACTGTGTGAATGGTACTGACCACTGTGTGAATGGTACTAACCACTGTGTGAATGGTACTGACCACTGTGTGAATGGTACTGACCACTGCGTGAATGGTACTGACCACTGTGTGAATGATGCTGACCACTGTGTGAATGGTACTGACCACTGTGTGAATGGTACTGACCACTGTGTGAATGGTACTAACCACTGTGTGAATGGTACTGACCACTGTGTGAATGGTACTGACCACTGTGTGAATGGTACTGACCACTGTGTGAATGATGCTGACCACTGTGTGAATGGTACTGACCACTGTGTGAATGGTACTGACCACTGTGTGAATGGTACTGACCACTGTGTGAATGGTACTGACCACTGTGTGAATGGTACTGACCACTGTGTGAATGGTACTGACCACTGTGTGAATGGTACTGACCACTGTGTGAATGGTACTGACCACTGTGTGAATGGTACTGACCACTGTGTGAATTGTACTGACCACTGTGTGAATGGTACTGACCACTGTGTGAATGGTACTGACCACTGTGTGAATGGTACTGACCACTGTGTGAATGGTACTGATCACTGTGTGAATGGTATCGACCACTGTGTGAATGGTACTGACCTGTGTGAGTGATATTGACCTCTGTGAATGGTATTGACCACTATGTGAGTGGTACTGACCACTGTGAGCGGTATTGACCTCTGTGTGTGTGTGTGAGCGGGAATATTGACCTGTGTGTGTGGTACTGACTTGTATGTGAGGGGGGAATACTGACCTGTGAGTGGTACTGACTTGTGTGTGAGTGGTATTTACCTGTGCCAGCATCATAGTCGTCTCCTGGAGCTGTCCAGGTGAGGTTGAGAGTCGTCGAGGTGACTGTTGCTTGTAGGTCCGTCACTCGTGAGGGTGGTAGGGAGTCACCTCCTGCTGCTGCTACATCAATTACCTGCAAAGTAATTATGTCACATCACATTAAGAAGGATGTGATACCTGTTTATCACATGAGAACTAATTATGTCACGTCACGTAAGGACGTGACACCTGTTTATTACCTAGTGCCACGTCACGTCACATAGGGAAGGATGCAACGCTGAATTATCACAAAGATTTAGAAGGCAACCCACAGCACCTTCGGATCAAGAGCCCGTCACAAGCATTAAGCCTTGTGGGCTTGTGACGGGCTCTTGATCCAAGGAATCAGATCTACCCTTCCTTGCATTAGGCATGGTTCTCTCCCTTTCCCCAGACGCTGTATGACGCCTACGGATTAGCGCTTCCCCATGAATATAACAATAATGAAACCAGTAAAAGCCTATCTTTCTTATACCTCGAAAATTGGAAATAAAAACTAGATGACGTTTCGGTCTTTCCTGAAGCAATATTGTTATAAATAATATTCCGGGACGGATCGAAAGGTTTTGAAAACAATCCATGGGCATAAATGATCCAGGATTGACAAACGTCTTGAAAATGGTCCAGGATGGACAGAAATGCATTGCAAATGGTCCAGTGGGCAGAAATGTCTTGTAAATGGTCCAGAAATGTCTTGTAAATGAAGACAGAAATGTTTCGTAAATGGTCCAGGACGGACCACTTACAAGATAAGATTCTATTCGGATTTCTATTCCCGGAGGGTTAGCCACCACAAGATGGTCTAATTGTCATTTACTGTAGCCACGGTAATATGACTTGTTTTACTTCAAAGTAACCTACTGCATCCTACAACATAAGGATCTCGTACCTGGAGGCCCCTCAAGGAAGGTTCCTTGATGTTGGTGAGGGGCTCTTGATTTAGGGAATTGGATCTGTGCTCCAGTTCCCCGAATTAAGCCTGAATGCCTTCCACATCCCCCCCCAGGCGCTGTATAATCCTCCGGGTTTAGCGCTTCCCCTTGATTATAATAATAATCGTACCTGGAGGCGCCAGTAACTTGAACATCAAGAAAAAAATGTTCCTCCTTTCTTATGTTTTAAACCTACACTGGCGGCGATTGTGCACCCACCTGCACAGAGCCCGCAGAGGCAGTACGGGTGAAGGCGCCAGTAGGTTGAGCAGAGGCGAGGTCCCAGGGTACAACACTGCCACAACAGTAACTAGGGCCATCTGTTGGCGGTAGTAACCACTCATGATCAATAATAATAATAACTATAATTCATATTCATAATTCATACCTAGTATTTACTAGTAATAGAACACGTGTACTTAATGTGTATAGAATACTTATAATTAATATCTTTGGGCACTTCTAAGTAGTGATTTTATTTTCTTAAATTGTCTACAAGACGTAACTCAGGTGGGCCAGTGGATGCTTAACCTGTTACCAACCCTCGGATAGGAGACACTTGTCTTGCTTTGTAATAAATAAACCATCACCACTACAACTGTACTGTGGTGATGAGGACACAGTGTAGTCACTGTAGTGGATAACACCGTGTGGCGAAACGTTTCCTGCAGTAAAGACATCCAAGAGTTGTACAAGTTTTATATGATACTAAACTGTATTTGAAGAAAAGACACTTGTAGAAAGAGTTGGTAGCGCATAATGCTCACACACTAAGTGTCCGTGGTTCCATCCCCGGTAGGGGTGGAAACATTAGGTATGTTTCCCTACAACTGATATCCCTGTTCATCTAGCAGTAACTTGGAACCTGAAAGTTAGTCGACTGTTGTGAGCTGAGGTAAGATAACAATTCTTGACCTATAAAATTAATGTGTAAAAAAAGAGAAAGAGCTGGGACAACATTTCAAACTTTTAAAATTTTTACCGAGTCATAGAGGGGATAAAATCTACACGCATATACTGTATACTGGTAGAGAGGTAAGAAGTAGTGAAAACTTTGGAATGTGATGAATCGTGGGTCTGTGGAGCGTTGCAGGAGGTACACTGGATTACTATGTTCTGTACCATATGTTTGTTCTGTTCCTGTGTTATTGTCAAGAATGTCCCTGTATTGTTGCGTGTGTCGGTAGTTTGACGAATAGATTAAGTTTGGAAGGCTCCAAAAGAGCTACACTATGAACCGTGTGAGACACTATTGTGACATTTGGGAATATTTTTTCTGGAAACGTATCGCTACGCAGTGGCATCTTCAGTCCAGTGCAGAGAAAGGTGGAAGATGAGGAGTTTGAGGTAATCAGTCCCTCAGCTTAAAGTCGATGTGTTCAGTCCATCAATCTTAACAGTAGTACAGCATATTCGCTAAGATGGGGCTTATAGCCTACAGACACGACCCACTTCCATTAGTGGTCTTCTCCACTTTTGACTCCACCTACCACTGCTCTACCTCATCTGTCATTAGTATATAAGCCCCACCGCGAGTATGCTGTACTTTTGTCAAGATTGATGAACGGAACACATCGACTCTAGATTGAGGGACAGTTTACCTCAAACTCCTCATCTTCCACCTTCCTCTGCATTGAACTGAAGAAGCCACTGCGTGGCGAAACGTTTCCAGAACAGATTCCCAAATGTCGCACAAGTGTCTCACAATGATCTCATTCATTTCACTCCTACTAATCCTACTAGTACATACAACCTTGCAATTTCCATTCTCTGTATAATCTGATAAAGATCTTAACAGAGCGAAACGTTGTTCCCAACAATAGGTCTTTATGCAAATGTATCTTTTCTTGACTGTAGTCTACAGTACACCATTTGATTTCATAGTGCGTGTGATGTGCAGTTACACATCATGATAGTAGATAACTATACCTAGAGGAAGTGAGATAATGGCACGAGCTGCCCGGGAAGCAGGGTGGGTGGGCATGCGGGCTGGCTGGCGAGAGACGATAAAACCATTGTTGATATAGCTGCTACCGTCGTCCCACACCTGCCAACAACACAAGTTAGATAAATTGTAGGTTAAGTTCACTATTATTTGAGTCTTAAAATTGAATATATTCATTTAGAAAGATCCTGAACGTTTCTGATCTTCTCCTGATATTGTTGACGAACATCGAGTTTACATTATTAATATTATTATCAAAACTAAGCGCTAAATCACCAGGGTCATACAACCCTGCATCAACGAGTCTACAGCCTACTCGTGTTAACATAACGGAGGAACACACCAACAGGCCTGCTGGCCCATGCTAAGCAGGTCCAATTCATACCCACCCACGCCCAATCATGCACCTATCTAGCACATATTTTTAAAGCTACCCAAAGTTTTCGCTTCAAGAATGCTACTTAAGAGTTTGAAACTCACGCACAACTATAGTGCCAAACTAGTACTTTCCTACGTCCTTCCTAAATCTAGGGTTGTCTAACTTAATCCATTACTGCGATTCCTGTCCTGGTTAGATTGTTTCAGCCAGCTAATCCCCTTTATTTATTCCGATCAAAATCAAGAGAGAATAGGTAAGACCCTTGTGGGGTGAGTGGGGATAGTGGAAGAATAGGCTGGTGAGATGAAGATTGTTAGGAGGGATAGTACCAAGGCTTAACCCAGTTGCTAGGCAGATAGTGGCACAGGTGGTTTTTGGTCGCGGCAAGGGGTGCTAGTAGGGCTAGCGGTCAGGGGAGCACAATTACGACACTGCAAGACACAGGGAGCATGGTTTTTAAAAACGGACGTCTATTAAGGTCCACACCTGTAAATAGTTTTTATTGGTTAATTGCAGGTAGATTTATTTAAATAAGGGATTGGGGGCAGGGGCTAGAAGAGAGTAGAATAGGTTGTGTGTGTCTGCTGGTCTGCGTATTACTTCGCCAAGGTATGAGGTCCAGTAGTCGTGTCGAGTCTCTAATCTATCTACTTGTCACTGAACGTTTTCCAGTAAACGTTCAGCGCAGGGATGTTAGCTCGGGCATGGGTGGATCCGCATCCCATCTGACTCTCTTTTCCCTCAACTACCGCCACATTGTAAAATGTCTAAGATGCTACAAGTTTGGCCACGAAAAAAAAACATCTGAACTGCCCCACAAACCTGCTCTAGGTGCTCACCTACAGGACACTGATGGACGACCTGTAGCGCTACTGTCAAATGCTCCAACTGCCTTGAACCTCACACTGCAATATCAAACTCTTGCCAAAAAAGGAAGTATTCCGGTTTTCCATTTGTACTCCTCAGTCATATCTCCCCTAATTCTACGCCTTTCCCGAGAGTGCAAATTCGGTGCCCTTAGGAAAGTTTTCTGATACATAGCATCAATTTCATCAGCCTTCTCTGTACGTCTTCCAACGCATTTATGTCAATTCTGTAATATGGAGACCAGACTGACAAGCATAAACGAGGCCGTACCAAGGATATAGCTGAAATATAACCAGAGGACTTCGAATCAAGTTCTTTTAAGTGAATTCAACTCCTGCAGGAAAGCAACATGTGTTCTAATGCAGTGTCATTCTTAAATCGTGCTCTAACTCGTGCCTTAATCTGTGCCCTAAATCATTTCATAATGACTCATGGCCTAACTCGTGGCCTTACTCGTTCCTTGGTAGGGTGGGGACGCTGGTGCCCTAGCCTGAAAGGCAGGGAAACACTGGTCTCCTGGCTTGACTGGCAGGGGATTTGGCTTGACTGATAGGGAACGCTGGTGTCCTGGCTTGACAGGCAGGGGACCTGGTTTGACTGACAGGGAGGAACTGGCGTTCTGGCTTGACTGGTAGGGGGGCACTGGTGTCCTGGCTTGATTGGTAGGGGACACAGGTGGCCATAACGCCATATCCAATGACATTTTAAATTATATTCTTCTAATTTTCACCTGATGAAGTTGATATTTACAAAACACTAATAGGTATAAACAAGGTAAACAAAATAGTATACAGACTGCCAAATACCCCAAATGCAGGATGCAGTGAGTACCAAGACTTTTCAATACCCCACCTTCATACATAAGGGCAGATTACCAACAGACCTCTGGCTGTCTTCGGTGGAGAACTTGACAGCCTCCTTAAGTCAGTTTATCAGCCAGGCTGTGGTACCTATGCTGGACTTCAAGCTGCTAGGTCAACAGGCTGGCTGATCAGGCCATCCAACGGGAGGCCTGGTTTGGAATTGAACCGCTGCGGCGTTTACCCTCGTAACACACTCCAAGTACACTATCCACTCTTAAAACACTATCCCTCCACCCTAGCTTTACCCTGTACACTTCTCTTCGTTCTGTAGCATACATTGAACTCGTGAAGAGGCGTGACGTGTATTCTGTAAGTTTCATCCCTTTCATCTCGTGCCCTAATTCACGGCCTCAGTGGCTATGTCGGCATGGTAATAGATTTGCAAATGCAAGTATGCCGCGTAAGAACACGAAAGATGTAAAATGAAGGTTTGCGTATTGACCTCAGCCTTGACGGAGTATCTGCCAGTTGTAGAGTAGGAGGTGAGGTAGCGAGAGTAGACACCATCACCGGCTTGGTTGTCAGCAGCCTGCCCGTTGTCCAGTAGGTCCACCAATACCGGCTGCGCTGTTGCAATAGGCTGCGTAACCTCAGCCCTGTGGGTTAGTAATTAATTAATTGAGCAAGCAAGCAAGAAAGCAATCGAGTAAATAAGCAAGCAAATAATTTAGTAAGCAAGCAAGCAATTAATTAAGCAATTAATTAATTAAGTAAGCAAGCAATCAAGCGAGAAATTGAGTATAGTTTTTCTTCACAGAACACAGTTGCCACATGCAGATGTCTCACCTGACCCTGGCGCCGACCACTGGGTTATTTCCTTGTTTCACTTCAGCGTAGATGATGATTGGTGTAGCGGTAGCATTCACGTTATCCTGAGCACTTAGCTGAACATACAGCATACGTTGAATAAGACGTGTCAATCAGTATAAAAACTTAATGAGTGTGAGTATTATCAACAGCCTATTGTTGAATCTTATTATGAGAATAAGAATTCCAAAGGAATTCTTTTTTTAGGTTTTTAATAGGCATAAGGCCTATTGATTATACGAGGCTTATTAAGGAGGTATGTCCCCTGTACTACACCAGTCAAAAACACTGATCCCTTTCAATGTATATAAAATAATAACAATAACTTTGAAAGTCATTAGTTTATTATAGTGCTAAACAGGTGTGGAAGGTTACCATGAATATAATATAGATATACGTATATAATGAATGGCAACACAGTCTGCTTTACAGTAAGCAGACGGAGGATCGAGCCTCCAGCAATCATAGTTTAGCGCCTCACGTGAATTAAAATAAAACTTGAGTATAACAACATCCCCTACAATAATAACAACAACAATAATAATAATAATAATACCTTACCCAGGCTCGTGTGAGGATAGGCAAGGTGTTGGAGTCTCTTGCCTGAGCTGTGACATCCACACGAGCATAGTTGTCACTTGTGGTGAATTCAACTTGCCAGGCCCATGTTCCCTCCTGAGGTGACCAAGAAGAAGCTCTCGTGAGTGAAGAACAATGTTTTAGTAAGAAGAAAAATGAAAGATTGATTCTAACTCATAACTGGGTGTCCTCACCTCTGCCAGAGGAACCTTGATGGTCCACATATTGAGGGTGGCATCATTGAGAGTGGTGTTCATTATGGTGCCGTTGGGACGTAGTAGGTACGGTCCATTGCTGATGCCGGTGTTGTGGTTGGCGACAAAACGAAAGACCAGATTACGACCCACCGTGAAGTCCACCGTAAAAGCACCGGTGACGTTGGTTTCATTGCCTTGGTATTCACTCTCGTAGATCTGGTTGGTTGGTTAATAACGTTAAAAGCCTATCGACTAATTAAAGGATTATTAAGGCTGCACGTACCTTTAATTAAACACTGAAGCTGAGATTAAAGAAAGATCTCAGCGTATGCACACTGAGAAACATATATCACGTATCCTACATCTGATGAAAATTATATAGTTTAATAAAGAAGTGGCACCGGTTGCAGAGCCAACTTATCGGGACATCTGGCTCTGTGCAAGCTTTATCTAGAACTAGGACTTCCTCCCCCCCTCACCGCACTAGGGTTGAGGGGGAAGTGGGGATAGTTGAGAATAGATGGGGAAGAGGAAAGAACTACAGAGAAAGGAGAAATGCCGGGGATAAGCCTAACAGCAAAAGATTCAATCAAGTCATAACTTAATACAACTACAGAGAGACAAACAATTGGATATTTTATAACTTAAAACTTATACAGCCTAGTACCCCCAAAATCTCATTCTAAATCTCAGAACGAGGAGGTAGGGCAATACTCCACCATAAGTTGATATATATCCAGCTGTATGACACATAATGGTTCAGCGCATGATTTTGAATATAATTATAAAAACAAAGGTATATTTCCAGGAACCGGCGAAGTCCAACCGCCAAATAAACTGAAGATAATCAACCAGTGATCAGTTTCGTGAGTTTTCCTACCCCTCGCAGCCTAGCCTGGGTCCAGGTTTTTCTGAAGATTTCCTGTTCAACTAGGCTGTTGTTGTTGGTGTTTTTTTTTTTTAGTCTGAAGTAATTCTGGTTGCTGGAGAAACAAGCAGGCAATAAAGTATAGTCACGTAGAGCAGAGCCTTCATTGTAGACGACGCATCGGTTAAGACTGACTTTAATCTAGACTACAAGCTTAATTCTGAACCATATTACAGAATGGACATAAATGCGCTTGAGAATGTATAGACAAGGATGATGGTTGATTTCATGTGGCAGAAACCTTTCCTACGAAAATAAGCCGAAGTCACTACTGAGCTTAAGGTCTCTGGAAAGACGTAAAATGAAGGGGGGATATGACTGAAAACGGATAAAGGGAATATGAATAACGTGTTGAAAGTAACCAAGAGAAGACTCGCGATAGTGGATTCAGGTTAGACAAATTTAGATTTAAAAAGGTTATATGGAAGTGTTGGTTAGGTAATAGAGTTGTAGATGAGTGGGAAAAACTCTCAGGAAGCGTCATTGGGGAGAGAACGTTGGGTAGTTTTAAATATAGGTTGGACGGATATTTGAGTGGGTGTGGTTGGGTGTAAATTGGCCCTACCTAGCATGGCCATCCCCACAGGCCTCTGGCAGTGTTCCTTCATTTTTACGCTTTTATGAATAAAGAAAAGGATGAACAGAGACCTGAAACCAAGGTCCTGTCACGTAGCAGCTCCAGCACTGTACCAACGGGCTATTGAGGCTTTACTAAGAAGATTTCAAAAAAAGCGTCAGCGGCCACCATCTGTGACCCAAATGTCTTCCCACAGTCCCAGAAACTTTCATAGTATATCTCTTCTCACCTCCTCTGAGTTATATAATTTATAAACTCAACATAAAAACATAAGCTCAATATAAGTCGCAATAAACGACTGTGGACGATTGAACACAAGGATGGATGGTCAGGTATACTCCAGGTATACTCCAGGTATACTCGAGGTATGCTCCAGGTATGCTCCAGGTATGCCCCAGGTATACTCCAGGTATGTTCCAGGTATGCTCCAGGTATGCTCCAGGTATGCTCCAGGTATGCTCCAGGTATACTCCAGGTATGCTCCAGGTATGCTCCAGGTATACTCCAGTATGCTCCAGGTATGCTCCAGGTATGCTCCTGACATGCAGCAGGTGACAGGACAGAGAATTTCCATCCATCCTTCAATTTATTCACTGTCAGTCGTTCATTACGGTTTATAGTGAGTTTCTGTTTTTATGTTCTTATTCATGTATATCTTAGGTGTGTACTAAACAGTGACGGTGGTGGTGACCGAGCAGGTGTGTACTATACCTAGACAGTGGTGTTGTCAAGACAGGTGTGTATTATACCTTGACAGTGGTGTTGTGGAAAATACTGTATATATTTTCCAGAAATTCAGGATTTATATGTAAATAGATGGCCATACTGTATTTAATAATATTTGTCATAGAAAACGGAAAGGCTGCGTCTGCGCAGACGGAACTCGCCATCTTGGTTTTGAATTGGATACAACGTTAATATAATGGGAAGAATTTTTCGTGCTCTAGAGGTTAAAATTGGATTGATAACTCTCAAATAGGAGGCGAAATTGTTGGATGTGCATTCCTGCATAACTTGAGATATCAGACGACTGGACAAGACAGCTCCATGAACCTCAGATAAGCTCTCTAGATTTGTGTATAATTCTGGCCAGTGTTTTCATAAATTTAGTTAGTGAGGTTTTTCTGAGTATGATACAACTTAATATCCAGTCAAATTGGTGAGTGATATTAAGATATATTTTCCTTCTGTTATGTATATGTGAATTTATATATAATCTTTTTTAATATACAGTCCACAAATTTATATATTTACCAGTATTCCTGGTGTATGTATGTTTCATTTAATTAATAGGTCCAGAGCAACTTGTGGTTATGACAGTGGTAGGTATCGAAGGGGGACATTTTTTGCGACCTAGGTGTCCCAAATTCCTAATTGTCTATGTAATATTGATAAATAATAATTATCTTTATCATTTACTGTTATGTACATAATTAGTTACATTCAGATAAATGCAATTTTCCACAGGTGTTGTCAAGAGAGGTGTGTACTATACCTAGACAGTGGTGTTGTCAAGACAGGTGTGTATTATACCTTGACAGTGGTGTTGTCAAGACAGGTGTGTACTATACCTTGACGATGGTGTTGTAAAGAGAGGTGTGTACTATATACCGTGACGGTGGTGGTGTTGTCAAGACAGGTGTGTACTATACCTTGACGGTGGTGTTGGCCAGGGAGTCAGCAGGTTGGTAGGTGAGAGCTGCCTGGAAGGCGTCGTCCAACATCCCACCGTCGTCAGTGTCCAGCACTGTGAAGGTCTTCCCTTTGGTGTTCTCAGCTATGCTCTCTAACTTGGGGTCCGCATATTCCCTGGAAAACATTGATGCTACATAATAATCTGGTCTAATTTACAATTTATGTCTTAATTATTATATAAATGTTTTGTGGCATATTTCTGTGTATTTATTATGTAATAGTCAAAATTTGTACTGAATTAAGCTTTCATGACCTGGACCCATATATAGACTTTGAGAAGTAAATTAAAATGACTTAAAAAACCTTAAGATTTCTCCTAGTAACCGTTCGAGTTTTTCTTTCTCTTACCACCACTTCATTTTTGTGGCACAAACACAATATACAAGAGAAGAATATTTTAAAGTATATTATGATATTTTTCATGGGGAGCGCTAAACCCTTTGGATTATACAACGTATGAGGAGGGTGGGGTTGGAATGTATTCAGGCTCAATTTAGGGAACTGGAGAACAGATCCAATTCCCTAGATCAAGAGCCTCTCATCAGCATCAAAGTACCTCCCTTGAGGGGACCAAAAGTATATTATGAGACACCTCGAGGCCCTCAGAAGCAGTACGGGGAACCAAGAATTCGTACGATTGGTATGTAGCTACATAAGAAGGAATTTCAACATACTTATAGGTAATGATACGTCAAAACCTAATACACTTGGTGTGTTTGCAGACATCAGTAGCATACACTTAACTGGACCTTTGATATTTTACATAGCTCACCCCCCCACTGAAGGAAGGTTCCTTGATGCCGGTGAGGGGTTCTTGATCGAAGGAATTAATTCGTTTTACCCTTCCTTGACTCGAAACTAATTTCTTCTCATTCCCAAGGAGCTATATGGCCCCATACGAGTTTACTGCTTCCCTTTAATAATAATAATAATAATAATAATAATAATAATAATAATAATAATAATAATAAACAATACTTAGAAATAGGTAAGGCACTTTTTATTGCATCTATGAATTTAGAAAAGGAATATGACAGGGTGGATAAAGAAGCCATGTGGCAGATGTTGCAAATGTATGAAATGGGTGGAAGGCTACTTGAAGCCGTAAACAGCTTGTATGTAGAGGTTAGGGTATGGAGGCGAGACATTATTTTCCAGTAAATGTAGGCCTTGGACAGGGATGTGTGATGTCACCATGGTTGCTTAATGTATTTATAGATGGGGTTGAAAAAGAAGTCAACGCTAGGGTGTTGGGGAGTGGTGTGGTACTGAAACTGGTGAATCTGGAGCAGAATGGGTTGTCACAGTAGCGTTATGCCGATAGAT